CTCACCAGAAATAAATATATCTTTGATATCCCCAGAGTCAAACTTAATCTGTGTAAACACTATGCATATAAAGGGACTTGGTCTATGGAACTCACTCCCTAACAAATTGAAAAGCTGTCAAAACTTTTGCCATATTTAAAAATAAAACCTAATTACCTAATTTCATCTTCATAGTTTTCTATCTAGTGCTTGAAACTCATACTGTATTACTGCTACCCAATCCCCCAATATATGTACCTTGGCCATATAACTTTGCCACTGTAATCATTGCTATTATCTTACATCATGGTTGCTATATTGAACACAGTTTACTGCATTATGCCTTGAAATAATCCTCAAATTATGCTACAATGTACCTTTGGAAAACCCTTAAATTTACTTTAATGTACAGTACCTACTACTCTTGTAAAATTTCTTAAACAATGTATCTTTTTATCCTTTCTTACACTGTATTTTTTGTATACATTCTTTCAATGTATTTTTTTCTACATTCTTACAATGTATTTTTTATACTGTACTTTCTTACAGTGTACTGTACCTATAAATAATTTTTTTTTTTAGTGATTACCTTCTTATAATTACAGTATCTTTTAAATTAAGGACCTGCTAGAAATGCTATGCATGCTTGTGTCTTTACAAGAATGTAAAATATCAGTGCTTTGTACTCTCATAAACCCAGTGTACCTTCTTGTATATAAATAAATAAAATAAAATAAATAAATGTCATTGTTATCTGATGATCCATTCAATTTCTGTTCACTTTTAATTCCTGTACCTATAGTGCTAAATTGTAATTGTTGTTCTCTTCTAATGTTTACATTATTCTCCTCTGACTTGTAGTTTATATATATATATATATATATATACTGTATATTCTCTATTATATATACTGTATGTTCCTTCTGAAGATGTATTAATATACGAAAGTACTTAAGGAAATTCCTGTTTCAATTTTCCTCCGTGATTCTAATTTGCTGATTCTATTTGCTGACGACACAACCTTCATTTACTCCAGTCCTGATCCCCTTGCTCTAAATGCCACAGTAAATACTGAGCTAAATAAAGTCCATCTGTGGCTAACTGCCAACAAACTCACCCTTAACATTGACAAAACCTTTTATATTCTGTTTGGCAATAAATCCTCTAATCAAATAAATCTCAAAATAAACAATACCCAAATTTGTAACAAATTAGATGGCAAATTCCTTGGCATTCTCATTGACCACAAGCTTAATTTCCAGGGACACATTCTAAACATATCAAAAAAAGTTTCAAAAACTGTGGGCATTCTTTCTAAGATCAGATATTATGTACCACGCCCTGCCCTGGTGACTCTCTATTACTCCCTTATCTATCCATATCTCAACTATGGTATTTGTGCTTGGGGCTCTACTACCCAAAATCACTTACGTCCTCTAATTACTCAACACAAAGCTGCTATTAGGACAATATCCAATTCTGGCCCCAGACACCACTCGGTACCCCTACTTAAATCTCTGAATATGTTAGACATTAAGTCACTGCACATTCTCTCATGTGTATTATACATATATAAAACGCTAAACTATAATGCCAATCCTGATCTCAAAAGCTTCATAGAAGGTTGTATCAGAACCCATGAGCATCACACCAGAAATAAATACAGTTTTGATATTCCTAGAGTACGACTTAATCAAACTAGAAATGCTCTACAAATCAAGGGGCCCAGAATGTGGAATGACCTTCCCAACCATGTTAAAGACTGTACCTCTCTCAACCAGTTTAAGTTAAAAGCGAAGCTATACCTAATAAATTCCCTGTAACCTACCTTACCCTTCTATTGTCAACCAATGTTTGTTTTTTTCTTTAAAGAGCGCTGTTTGTCGACATAATTGTATTTGTTCTGCTTTTTCATCTATGTTTTCATTTCTTGTTTTCATTCTACTCATTATGCTCAATTAGTATAAAGCTTGTCATTTAAGTTTATCATGCCCGAAACGCTTTGCGTAATAGTGGCTTTAGGCATTGTATGTACTAGCTATACCTATAAGTTAAACAATCCTTGTAAATATTTATTGTATGTATGTACCTTACCTAAATAAAATTGTATTGTATTGTATTGTATTGTATTGTATTGTATTATCTGACACTGTCACATTTTTAATCACGTGTTTATTTTCGTGATATACACACATATACTGTGTGTGTGTATGTATATATATTTAATTTGTATATACAAGAGGGTACATTGGGTTCTAAGAGTACATAACATTGGCATTCTTACATTCTTGCAAAGCCACACAGTGCACACAGTGTTTCAGGCAGGTCCTTCAAATGACAGATAAATTTAAGAGTAATTAAAAGGTCCTTTGTAACATAATTTGATTTCAACATTATAACAACAATAAACATTTATTGTATTGATTATTCTGGTGATGTTGCATATCTTAGGTACAGGTACAGTATTACAATTGGATGAATGGGTAGTACAAGGTATAGTGGGAGTTTGATGCACAAGGCAGAAAAATGTGAGGATGTATTTAGGTGCTTTTTGCTTTTGCTTTTGAATGAATCATAGGTTGGATAATTTTTAAATTCATTAGGTAGCGAGTTCCATAGACTGGGTCCTTTTATTTACATGGCGTGTTTGCACAGATTAAGTTTAACTGGGGATATTAAAGATATTTATTTTCTGGTGTGGTGCTCATGGGTTCTATTACATCTATCAAGGAAGAGTTTCAGATCAGTATTAGCATTTAGGGATTTAAACAGAGGGGCTGTGTGTTGTGTGAAAATTGAGTTTGCTATAGTTCTGATAGCAGATTTTTGCTGGGTGATGATGGGCTTGGTGATTTGCAGTGGTTAAACCCTATGCACAGATACCATATGTTAGAGAGGGATAAATTAGTGAGTAGTATAGTAAAAAGAGAGCAGAATGGGGAGCGTAATATCTGATTTTAGAGAATATACCTACAGTTTTTGAGACTTTCAGCTACATGTTGCATGTGGGTGTTGAAGTTTAGTCTCTTGTTTATGTATAGGCCAAGGAACTTTCTATCATTTTTAATGCTAATGTCATTTCATCCTCCTGTTTTGGTAATACTGTACTATGCTGTACTTATAATAATGATGAGGACCATAGTATATACCGACGTACAACAAACTTGGAAAGTAGAAATCGAAGTTTGCTTTTTAGCTTCATTTTTCTGACTCTGTAACGTGAATAGTACAGAGTTCTAATTGCTTAGAACGGCAATCTTTGTACTATGGTGCACATAGTTACAAAACCTACTATCTAAACAGGAGAATGGGTTGGCTAATGTTAACATTGTCTATCTGTAAGTGAATTATTTTGAAGATTTACTTCTAATAATAATAATTCATTGTGTCGGGGACAGGCAGCCAGAGTTTATTCATACATGTTAGGCTTATATTGAGGTCCTCCCCAGCCCCCAAGATTGAATTACTGACCCAGCCCAGGATGCAACCTCACAACAAATTGACTAACTCCTGAGTACCTACTTACTTCTAGGTGATAGGAATTTGACTCGCAATTCTCGATTGTGAGTTGAGAACAAAACCAAATGTACTATTGGGACCCCTTAAATAAGTTGACCAGACCACACACTAGAAGGTGAAGGGACGACGACGTTTCGGTCCGTCCTGGACCATTCTCAAGTCGATTGAGCCCCCTTAAATAAAATGTAGTAGATCTTTTCTATATTTCATCTTTCTGATTTCATCACTTGTGCCGTAGTACAGTACTGTACTCTGTTTTTGACTTAGAGTCGAGGATCCCTGGGCAGAGCATAATGGCTGGGCATGTTTCAGTTCCCTTGATGCCTCTTTACCTAGATACTGGGAGTTAGACTACTATTGATTTGATTGTTGCCACTGGAGATAGCTAGTTTGTTGTGCACCCCATACTCGTCCTGAGAGCAGTAGTGCAAAAAGGATTACAGATGGCACAGGAGGTCTTTATCAGACCTCAATGGAGATTATTACATTTGGGTGGTTGCATCCTGGGGAAGGCCAGTACAGGTAGTTCAACCTAGGGGGGAAGGGGACCTCTATACAAGTCTAAGTACTGTACAGGCTTCCTGTCCCAACAACGAAAATTATTATTACAGTATAATGTTCTTGTTTCTTAGTTGTGTACCTGTTATTTATTTTCCTTATAAAACTTTAAACTTAAACTGGCTAAAAAACTTTTTCCATACAGATCTCTCACATTTTTTTAAATGGTAACCAACTATTTAGACAAAAAAAAAACCACTTCCAGTAGACGTAGTATACCAGGACATACCAGTCATACCAGGACAAGTTGAGGGCCACAGGGCTAACAACACAACAAACCAGATATGATAGGGCTGATCTCATTGAAACATTCAAAATACTGAACAATTTGGAGGATGTTTATCACGACAAATTTTTCAAAAGGGCAGATGTAACACAGACAAGGAGCAACAATTTCAAGCTCAACAAGCCACAATGTAGGACTGAAAACAGGTGATGCTTTTTCACCTTGAGCTTTATAAACCCATGGAACTGCTCACCCGCTTAAATGCCAAAACTCTGCTGAACTTTAAAATCCAGCTTGAAAAAAATCATCAGGACAAATAGGGGGATGTTTAAGAAGCCACTAGCTTCCTGTCCTCATCGAGGCCACTAGTGTTAGTGGTCCTCGGGTAAATTCAGGTAAATATACATGGACTTCTCTAAAGCTTTTGTCAAGGTACCACATGAAAGACTGGCAAGGAAATTAGACGTGGAATAAATGGTAAAGTACTATACACACCACTAATTTACAAAAGACCTTTTTTTTTTTTTTTTTTAATCTAAGTGGGGTTAGTTTTCCTTAGGACTTGGTTGTCCTGCTGGGGAAAGAGCATGCTCAATAATTTTTGTTTATTATATTTCACTGTGTGTTTATGCTCCTCATCTTGCATCCTTAGCTGATTAGCTCACCAACTTTGTTTCAGACTTATTTTATCTGATGTTTGCTTCCATTTCTCCTTTACGCGCCAGAGTTCTCTTCTCCGTGGGGCTCGAGTGCCCTCCTTTCTGGGGCTTCTCCCGAGTAGTTCTGGTGTCTGGGTCGTGCAGGGGACTTGGTCCTGAAACCAGACTTGCTAATAACATTAGATAAAGTGCTTGGAGATTGGGGAGGGGAGGGGAAAGAGGTGGGCATGCTCATGTTGGTTATGCTGGTTTATAGGTGTGCTTTGCACGTTCATGGGATGCCTCTTCAGTGGCAAATAAGAATTCTTTTGGTTTCATGCCGTGGCAGTGTGCATCTACCTATGTAGAAGTGCACAACCTACCATTCACAGAATAACTACCAGAAATATGAGCATATTGTGTTAAAACAAAAAAATACACAACAAAACCCAGGAACTGATAGCTTAGAAACAATGTAACAATGCAGAAGGACATTGTGTCGAGGTACACAAAAACAATAGGAATATTGAGGAGCCAACCAGTAATATGAATAATGAGAGTAATACTGAGAAAGAATGCAGAAATCCAGATATCATAGGCATCAGTGAAACATGGGAACGAGAGGACATAATAGAAGGGGAATTCTTTCTCCCAGGATACTGCCCATCTTTCAGAAATGACAGAACAACAATAGCAGGTGGGGTGATGCTGTATGTGAAAGAGGACCTGGATGCAACCACCAATGAGGAACTGAACACCTTGGGATCCTCAGTCTGTATGATGCAACATACTAACTCGTACGTCTTGCCTATCAAGGAATGAGAGAGGAATTGCAAAACATATGGAATGGGCTGGTAGACAAACATGGCATGCAAGCATGCCATGCCGAGAAGCAAAATTTGAAAAGGGTCATCACGGAACACGCAAGAAATCAGAAGATAATAGTTCAAAGGAATAATGCCAAAAATGTGAACTCCCTAAGAAATGAATGACTACCCAAACGATAGAAAATATATTCACCAAGAACAAACACCACACACTTCCACATTTGAGAAATGCTGAGACATGCAAAAAAAAAAAAAAGAAGCCAAGCAAATTAACTTCCATTAATAAAAGACTATAACATATGATTGTCCTATTGTCCTAAGCAGGTCAGGGTCAGTCCCAGTTCCCCCCCCCCCTTTAATAGGATCAGCTACTATTAAGACTCTCAGTGACTCCTATGAAGTCAGAAATGGAGGTTTGGTTTTCCAGAATTTTTCAGCTGTTTATCACATACACAATATTGTTACAACATTGCATGAGAGTAACAATAGTAAAAATAATATTGTGGTTATGCTGTGTGTTTGATGGGTGCATATGTTTTACCTGAGAGGATGGTGGAGGCAAATAGGCCACTTGAACTTGCATGCAACTGGCAATCCCATCCATTAGTAAATGTAAGGAAGCACCAGACAAGGATATTGGTGCCAAACCCTGGCAAGTACTGTACAATGATACCTGGAGTGTACCTGGAGAGGGTTCTGAGAGTTCTACTCCCCGAGTCAGGCCTGAGGCCAGACTTGACTTACTTGGTACAGCAGACTGTTGCTTGGAGCGGACTGCAGGCCCACATATCCATTACACCCTGGTTGGTCTGGCACTTAGAAGAAAAACAAAATGCAGATGTGGTATACACGAATTTTGCTAAGGCATTCAATAAATGTGACCATGAAGTGATAGCATTCAAATGAGATCAATGGGAATAACAGATAAAGTAGGACGGTGGATATTTAATTTGATGTCAAACAGAACACAGAGTAACAGTCAACCAAATAAAATAGTCCAATTGCAGTTTAAAACTCTGTACCCCAGGGTACAGGCCTTGCATCACTGCTTTATCTTATTCTCATATCTGATATAGACAAAAATACAAGTCACAGCTTCGTATTTTCCTTTGCAGATGCCACAAAAATCAGAATGAAAATGACCTCTGCTAAGCTGAAGACATTGAAAAACTACAAGCAGATATTAATCAAGATTTCGACTGGGTAGTAGAAAATAACATAATGGAGCACCGGTCTGCTCCTTAAACATCAAGTGCCTGATTGTTAAACGTGTATTACCAATACCTGACCTCGCCAGAGCCATTTTCAACCGCCAATTGTGGTGGTAGGAGGAAATCCATGGTGAAGCGCTACTCTTAAGCAATACAGTTTGTTACCAGTAACAGAAGACCAACGACCCTGCCAATGGGCATGGATTGAGGAATGAATAACTAGGTAAAAGTTGAAATAAGAAACACCTTTACGGGAGATAGGACGAGTGTGGATAGCCTCCTTAGCGGCAGCATCCACACCTCATTTAAGGAAACGCCAATATGGCTGGGAACCCAGCAAAACTTAACTCTCTTAAATCTGCTGGAGATAAGAAACAGCCAATGTTAAATTTCATCTACCACAGGATGGACTGGATTAAAGGACTCAGAGCCATGAGGGCACTGCGAGAATCGACTACAACAACAAAGGAAAATTGACAGCGAGAAAGCTGTCAATGCACTAAGTCTTCAGGCTTGGTGCATTCCTTTGATAATTAACAAGGATTTTTATGTTTTTTGTAGTCCCTAAACAAGCTTGTCCAAATCTGTAATCTGTGTCTGAGCCTTGGCATAAATGAAAATATCTGAATGTTGTCTTTCTTCATTCTTTATTTCATACTAAAATATAACACAGTTATGTACATGGCAGCTTCATTAACTTGTATTATAAATAAAAAACATGATTCAAATACATAAGCAAGAAAAATAAAGGCCAAATTTTTTAACAGCAGAGAACTTTAACATCAGCATGCAAAACAAATGGTAACACGACCGTGGTGACAAAGTTCCCATTTGTTTTGAATTTTGATTAAAACAGCTGGCAATTCACACGGCTGATAATCATCTACAACTTCGCAAACATGGACCAATACAGTCTGTGTAAGATGACAAGAACTTTCGTATTTTGTATAACAAATGTATTTCTACTTCTGGGTCAGGATTTATCAAGCATTTACATGTCCACTTAAAAAAATCTGTACATCTTTCATCGAAGACAACAACTTACGTGTGTATTTATTACACAGTTTGAGCTTCAAAACGCTGCGAGGCCGATCTTGACCCGTGGGTATTATGGAGAACCTTGTAACACTTCCAAGCTCATAAGCTGTTAAATACATGCATGAGGAAAGATTTACATGGTTTGAAAGTACACACATAAATGTGCTATGAATATTGGCCATGAAAATTAAAAATTTCACACTGTTTGAATGAAATATGTACACTACAAACTTAGACACTATCTAATGGTTGTACATTTTCATTGTAATCATTATTCATAACCAGAATTACTAATTCAATAGTAACATCATACAAACTTTTTTTTTGTATTTAAACTGCCAATTTTTTAAATAAACGTAAGCTAGAGCCTTAAATTTTTCTGAAGGCTCTTCAAAGCAAGTCATTAATTTGCATTTAGAACTATGCATAAAATGTTTTTCACATTTACTTCTTTGGTAAAACAAATTATGAAATATAGTACAGACATTTTTGTCCTAATACAAAAATAAATGGTTGAATATATTTTTATTCAGGGTAAACTGCTTATGAAGCTCCTATTATATGCAAATACTTAAGGGAAGAACATCTAACCATATTCAAATTGATAAATATCAAGGTGAAGAATACAATATAGACAAAATGATGCAACAAAACAATAGCAACTTTCAAAACAATGATATAAATTACTTGCCACTTCATGTACAAGATTTACAAAGCAAAATAATTTTGGTCCCATGGACAGGTAAACTGGATATCGATAAATGGTAAATTTGTTCTGAATAAGATAGAACTTCTCTAATTCACTGAATAAAACACATAATGGCATCTTTATACATACAATTAATATAAAACAAGGTATGATATTTTAATGTGTAATAAACAGACAAAAAGGACTATATAAGAATATTTTGGCATATTTTTCACTCGGTACCTGTAATGTGAATTCTATTAAGCTTGGAAATAACCAAACTCATCAGTATTACATACAGAAAGATAAATTCTGTACAATACTTTTACTACGGTAGCCGTGTTTTCCGAACACAATGCCAGTCATCTCCAAGACAATTGTCAAACAGCAGCTTCGTTAATGTGGTTACCTACCAAGATACTGCTGCCTTGTCAAAAGCAATTGCTTATTTTACACAAAATACATGAGGTAACATCCACACCATTTATAAATGAGATGAAAAAGACTGCAATGAAGTCTAAAATCATCAAATATATTGCAAATAATCTTGGCTACAGACAATTTAAACTGGGTCACCACTCTCCCTATGGGCGAGATAAAGCCATTTAAGCTTTGTTTACCATCCGAAACAAGAACCCAGTATTTACAGTAGACTCGTAAAACTATCATCAATATCTTCTAGTAAACTTTACTGAACTATCTGTTTAGTGGTAATATAAAATGCAGTAGTCATTCTAAGTCAGGCTACTACACTAATCTATTCATCTTACATGAGAGATTACTTGTGCTTCACATTTGTTTGAGCTATGACCATTCAATGCATCAAAAAAATAATTAATAATAATTACATTTCTCTAAGTATCTTCTTCAATTGCTAACTAACAACTGTAGTTAAATACTTGCCGCCAACACTTTCACTTCACAAACAACAAACACCAGACTCTCTTTCTAACAGTCTCCAGGATGTGGAGTTTGTGTAGAGAGAGTCGGTAATGTTTCATGGGCATCTCCTGTGGATATGAAGACATAGCCTAATAACCTAATATCAGAATTACACAGTATAAAGCTCACCCATGAAACTATCACTCCGCAGTATTATTATCTTGTGAATTTGTTTAAAATAATGCTGTAAATATTGATTAGCTGATGATCTAGCAAAATTGATAAATAAGATTTGTCTTAACCGAAGTGATAGAACAACACTGTGTATGCCATTTTGCAATAGAAATAAAAATTATACTTTTATACTGCTCAATTTATGAGCAAAAATTTATTTACACAAAAACTCTTTTGCAAACTATAATAAAGTTATCTAAAAGCCTATTGCATAATGCATTCACAGCTTTAAAAAAAAAAATATGTTTAAAGAAATCTGTGGCATGCTGAAATTTGGTTAGTGTATTTACTGCAAATTAAAAAGTACCTTCATATTAATTAAGCCCTTGCACTAGAGCAAATAAAAATGAATTTAATTTTCTTTGATATTGGAAACTGCCTTCCCTGTCTACAAAATATTGTTAATTTCAAGTCAAACAATATCCTGTTCATTCTTTTCAATTTTATCTACCCTTTCTAGTTCTGTACTGCTTTTAACAAACAGTTTCAAATATAAAAACCATTCCTGAAAGCAGTCAGTGTAACTTTACCTTCTGTAAAGATTCCTTAAATATGAAGCCAAGACTGATTCAATTACCTATTGATATGGAAACTTTACCATTTATATCTCTACCATGTATTGCTAGACGCCATTAACAAAATCTTCTATTTTCCATGAAAATACCCAGCAAATATTCCTAGATGTGATATTCTAAATAGAGCCAAACTGGAACCCGACACCTGAAACTACCTACACTGCTAGTATGCTTTTCATACTCTAATTATAAATTATGATCATGGAAGCACATAATTGTTCAGCAATTTGATGCAGTGATGCTTTGATTTTATTAACAAATTTTAATTTTAGAGCTGTATTTTATTAATTTAATTAATATATTCTTAAAATACAAGTCCCACTTTCAACATTGAGGTTTTGTCAAGTCTTTAAGCTTATTAATTTAAAAACTCATGATAAATTATCATACCCTAAATTAATTTTGGCATTTATTAAATTGATGATTATCCCATGTATATGTATAAGAACTTACTGATAGCTTGAATACATGCCATGGTTTATGAGTTACCTAGGACACACAGCCTGCACTCACTAAAATACAGTACATATTTCAATACTGAGGATTAGGAGAATAGCACAAGGTTGCAGAGTTTGGTGTGGCATGACCAGAGTGGGCCGAGGCAACTGAATTAGGAGTGAGATTGTCAGTGCGAGTACGGCTCATAGGTATTGGTGGGCAGGGGTTGGACGAGCGTGAAGAACTGTAGCTGGCAGAGCCTCGGTAAGTTGAATAGTTTGAATCCCCAGAGTCATTTTGCTTGTATGTTGCTGTACCATAGACTGGCTCTGGTTTAACAATTCCAGACTTACTTGTAACATAAAGTGTGTCTTGTCGAGGGTTGTTCTTGTATATGCTCTCTGTGTGAGAAAGAGCAGAGAAGCTGGCAGCAGGTTTGGAACAAAGGCTCTGTGATTGAGCAAGATTCCTGGAGTAGTTGTCCATGCGAGGCGGTGGTGGCTTGGTGTAAACTGACTGGGAACGGTTGAGAGATGTAGAGCGTGGCATGGATGGAGATTTGGCATACAAACTCTTGGATCCAGAATATATATCATCTTTGTTAGAGGTATAGCTAGTGTCGTATTTGTATGAAGAGGCATTGTAAACAGAAGGAGTTCCTGTATGTCCATACATGCTTGCTGGGTAACCTAAAACAAATATTATCATCAATATATGTATAATTTTAACATATATAAATAAAATAGGAATTTATTAAATTCATGGCAAGCATATGAAATTATAGAGAAATACAAACATTTGTAAAATGTTAACCATGAAAATGTAGGCAGTTATTCACACTTGTTGATTGTCTAACCCAGGAAGCAACAGACTACTGTATATACATACTCTACAGTATAATTATCCAAGTGTAGTTACAGGATGAGAGGTATACTTATGAAGGCCTGTCTTCCCTATAATCTTTGTTATGTGACATTCTGAAACTGTTGATGCTTTTGGCACTCTCCATCTTCTCGATTATATTGTTCCAACCGTCCACCACTCTGCTCACAAAATGAGAACTTGTTAAATTTTTTCAGCACCTTTGTTTTTTTAGTGAGTCTGCAATTGCAATTATCCCAATCCCACTGCAATTGCAATGCCAAAGACTGGCATTTCCCTCCTGTGGGCCTTGACAGTGCCACATATGCCAGTGTTGCAACGTATGTGGCACTGCATGGTTCCAGCAACGAACCCATGAGTGTTTGTACGACACTGCCTGAGAACCCGTGTGGATCTTGACTGGTATATCAATGTCTGTACCTGAATACAGTATCATGTCCATGACAATACCAGTTTTGCAGTCGCATAACACGAACTTTAGTTCAAATCTATGCTGTTTTGATGAAATGTACTGCTTGAACACCAGTAGTCCCTTGAAGAGGACTGGCGATTCATCTATCACAACATTCTGCGCTGGTACAAAATAGTCACAGAACTTTCCTCTCATATCACTAAATACTTTCCGCACTTTCCACAGTCTGTCTTCATTAGCATTGTTCTCAAATTGTAGGCACCTGAGAAGCAGCAGGAACCTATCATGTGACATGTATCTGTTGAACACGGGGGTTGGAACAAGGCTGTCTTTGCTCCAATAATCCTGGATCACGTGTTTATCTGAATGCCTCATCATCATGCACAACATTAAAAACATACACATTTCCTCATTAGTCGTGTCTTTCCAGCGTGTCATTCGAGAGGCAGGTAAAAGTCCTGAGTCAATGAGGTCCTGAGCATATTGGTTAGTCTCTGCAACGAGATGGTCCATGAATTGCTGATCAAAATATGCTATAAAATAATCAGTTTCAGCCATATCTTTACCAGTATAGGGGATGTCACACCAACATCGATATCAAGTGTTTGAATTTGCGGGACAAATTTCTCATAATCCTGCCACCCACAAGTACACCCATGTTTTTGGTTTTGGCGCCAACACCACGGCTCCGTCGTCTTGTGCTAGAGTTGCGTATGGGTATGCCAGGAGATGAGACTGTTCTGCGTAGTATAGGCCTACCACGAACACCTGATGTCGAGGGCTCATTGTCGTCATTGTCTTCAGGCCATGTGACATGCTGGCTCTTGCCTCAGTGAGGTGCTGGGGCAACAAAATCCCGCCTAGTAACACCATAGCTGCTTGTACTCGGTTCATCAACACTGCTTGTATCTGAGCCTATGTCACTGAACCCCGAAAATGACTCATCACATGTAGTATCACCAAATAAACTCGTCAGGTGACACAACTGGTGGTGTAACGTGAGCAGTGTTGACCTAGGGTGGTGTGGGAGGCCGGGCAATGCGCGAGTACTGTATGCACTCGTGACATCATCCTCTTCAGTCTCCCCATCACTCGTGTTAGGTCTTTTTCTGGACTGTAGTCTAAATCGTCAACAATCGGTCCATCATACAATGTCATGTATTTCCTCCTCTGAGAATCATTTTGCAACACCGCGGCTGACCGTGGATCGGGAGCTCGTAGACGATGCATCAGGCATGGTTGCTTCCTTGAAACTGAGGATCCCCACAGCCCTGTGGGGCATCCTGGGATTTTTTTCAAAATGGCGGACGATCACTGGAGGCCTCAGGCATCCATTTCATACCCGCATCCAGTTTTGAATCGTACACTATACCTATGAACGACCTGAGGCGCTCTGCACACCACCGATCTAGAGCCAAAAGGCGCTATGCGCAGTGTAATGGTTAAACTTGAAGCCCATCAGGTCCTTGTATTGCAAAACCGATTCTTTCATTCGACATGGAGTCCCATTGGCTCTCAAAAGGGAATATTCCAAATCACTCTTTTGAGTTGGGGACTGAAATTAAAGTGGTTTTTGGATAAAAAAAAAATAAAAAGCCTTTGTTCAGAGAATTTTGAACTAGAAATGGTTAGCTCATCTTATTTATTTAACTGATATTTTCAACCATATGAATGCACTTAATCTGCAACTTCAAGGAAAAAAGGAAAATAGGATTTCTGTAAACAAACAAATACTGTACTGTAACAGCATTTCAAGAAAAGCTCGAATATTGGCTAAAAAAGGTTCCTGCTTGATGGGGTTCTGGGAGTTCTTCTACTCTCCAAGCTCGGCCTGAGGCCAGGCTTGACTTGTGAGAGCTTGGTCCACCAGGCTGTTGCTTGGAGCGGCCCGCAGGCCCACATACCCACCACAGCCCGGTTGGTCTGGCACTCCTTGGAGAAAATTATCTAGTTTTCTTTTGAAGATGTCCACGGTTGTTCTGGCAATATTTCTTATACTCGTTGGGAGGATGTTGAACAACCGTGGACCTCTGATGTTTATACAGTGTTCTCTGATTGTGCCTATGGCACCCCGGCTCTTCACTGGTTCTATTCTGCATTTTCTTCCATATCGTTCACTCCAGTACAGTGGTACCTCGGATTACGAGCGTCCCTGTTTACAAGTATTTTGGATTACAAGGAGGATTTGCTTAGAAAATTTACATTGGAATACGAGCGTTACCTCGGAATACAAAGGTGTTGATACGCGTACAGGCCAACCTAGTGCGTGGTGGCACGGTGATCGCCGCTCAGTTTACCAGTGCCTCGCGCCCAGTGACTATCCCTCCTCAATTCTTCACAAGGATTTACAATGTTTTGTCGGATATTTGGCCATTTGAACATAAAAGTTGTTATTATATACTGTATCTCGCAATGGGTCCCAAGAAAGCCAGTGGTAAGGTTCAACCTAAGAAAATAGTTGTGAGTAGAGGCAGTAGAGGATGTCCCTTCTTCATTAAGAAAATGTGTGAAGTATGGGAAGAACTGCAAAGTTTTGTTGAAAAAACTCTCCCAGATAAAGCTGTAGCAGGCCATTGCATTGACCTTTTAAATGACAATGTGATATCTTACTACAGACAGGTGTTAAATTGTAGGGAAATACATGTATCTTTAGACAGATTCTTAGCAAGACATGCAAGCAGTGAGCCACAAGCAGGTCCTAGTGGTATGCAGGCAAAACGTGCCAGAGAGTGCACACCAGAGAAGTCCTCACTGCCTGATGTTATAATGGAAGGGCACTCTCCTTCCAAACAGTCACACCTCTCCTCCTCCCCACCATCTTCCATACACCAACAGCAGTCATCAGCAAGGGTAAGTAATAACTTGAACATACTTTTGTAGTGTAGATTTAGATGAATTAGATATAAAATTTAATTTGAAGCGAGGTTTTTGGGTAGTCAGGAACGGATTAATTCATTTCCCATTATTTCTTATGGGGAAATTAGCTTCGGATTACGAGCTGTCTCCAGGAACGTATTAAACTCTTAAACCGAGGTACCCCTGTATGTTGTTATTTTACTGTGTGGATTTGGGACCTGGCCCTCCAGTATTTTCCACGTGTATATTATTTGATATCTTTCTCGTCTAATTTCTAGTGAGTACATTTGGAGAGGTTTGAGACGATCCCAATAATATAGGTGCTTTATCGCATCTTTGTATGCTATATATGTTCTCTGTATTCCCTCCATTTCAGAAATCTCTCCTGCTGTGAAACGGAAAGCAAGTACTGAGCAGTACTCAGGATGGAACAATACAAGTGATTTATATAGTACAACCATTGTGATTGGATCCCTGGATTTGAAAGTTCTCGTAATCCATCCTATCATTTTTCTGGCTGACGCAATATTTGTTTGGTTATGCTCCCTAAACGTTAGGTCGTAAGACCATTAGTCTCAAATCCTTTACATGTTGTTTTCCTACTATGGGCAGATTTAATTGTGTTTTGTACCCTGTATTATGTTTAAGGTCCTCATTTTTACCATACCTGAGTACCTGGAAGCTATCACTGTTTAACATCATGTTATTTTCTGATGTCCAATCGAAAACTTTATCAATATCTGCTTGACGTTTTTCAATGTCTTCAGCAGAGGTAATTTTTGTGCTTATTTTTGTGTCATCTGCAAAGGATGATACGAAGCTGTGACTTGTATTTTTATCTATATCTGATATGAGAATAAAGAAAAGCAGTGGTGCAAGGACTGTACCCTGAGGTACAGAACTTTTAACTGCACTTGGACTTATATTTTATATGGTTGACTGTTACTCTTTGTGTTCTGTTCGACAGAAAACTGAGTATCCAGCATCATACTTTATAGGTTACTCCCATTGACCTCATTTTGTGTGCTATCATTCCATGGTCACATTTATCAAATGCCTTTGTGAAGTCCATGTATACCACATCTGCATTCTGTTTTTCTTCTAATGCCTGAGTGACTTTGTCGTAATGGTCAAGTAGCTATGAGAGGCACGATCTTCCCGCTCTAAATCCATGTTGGCCTGGGTTGTGAAGGTCATTAGTCTCCATGAAACTGGTCTCCTGATCACTCTCTCAAATACTTTTATTATGTGGGATGTTAGGCAACTGGTCTATAATTCTTTGCCAATGCTTTGCTCCCTCTCTTGTGTAGAGAGGCTATGTCTGCTGCTTTAATCGCATCTGGTATCTTCCCCGTGTTCAGGCTCTTCCTCCACACTATACCGAGTGCCTGTGCTACTGGCACCTTGCATTTCTTTATAAATATTGAATTCCATGAATCTGGACCCAGAGCTGAGTGCATGGGCATGTTTTCAGTTAGGGTAGAGGAACAAAAGTGCACCTTTTCTTTGTTCTTGGAGGATGCTGATGGCACTGATTTCAGTGAACTCAAGACAATGGTTTTGCTGAGCAAATAATTAAGTTTAGGCAAAGCAGTCGATGCAAAATGTTATTTTGGAATCTCTCTCGTTAACAATTTATGAGTAATATCCTGTGGTAACTGAGGAGGCCGTGATGCAATTACTGTACTGTATCGCTGTGTCCATGCATCTTACATGTGAATTAGGATTTTCCAACCTCGCCTTCATAAAAACCACAAAACACAACAGTTTGCTGAACCCTAAATATGATGTGAGGTGTATTTACTATTTGTGGCTGCAGGATTGAGCTGTTAGCTCTTGGACCCCGCCTTTCTAACCCGTCTGTTGTCCAATATATTAGCTGGGGCCTGGGTAATGGAATATTCATGGTGAATAATTACCAATTTTTTTGTGGATGCTAAAATGTTGAAATGTTTAAAATAGACATTGAATAAAACATAGTTTGCCTTGTAATTGCCTACATTAGGTAAAAAGGAAATTCTGATAGATGGTTCTGGGCAATGAAGAAAAATGCTTGGGAAGCATTGTGTTAACTAAAGAAATAGATCTTAAAAATTAAAGCTATGTTGTTAACAGTATGCAATGACAAACCTAGCGGGGAGGTGGTGTTGGAGGTGTTGGCGGGCCGGTACTGGTCATAGTGTTGGGCTCGGAGAGCATTGTAATTATAGCGGGGTGGAGGCTTCGAACACTCATCATATGGATCTTCATCGCTGCCAACACTTGATGAATCTGCTGGAGAAAATTGGGTTTATTTTTGAATTGTGAAAAAAAAAAGATCAATACATATCAAAATTATTAAATTATAATTTAGGCAAATATAATGAAAACAAGTTACTCTGATACTACTATATATAAAAATATAAAATGAAAACCCTGCAATTTGTATGGTCATATAAATTAATGTTTAACAATCATATACATTCCATTCTTATCTAAGAGTAATTACCAACTTTTCCATTTTCAATAAACACAATACAGACAGACAGAAGACAACTTGTGCAACAACACGGTGCAAAAGATGGTTAGTGGCACTACTGCTTTATATACAGTTTTAAACTCTAAATTTTAAATTTTAATTTGATCCACAACATACAGTGGCCACTTGAGTGGGTGTTAGTTAAGACACAGCTCATTCTCTCACTAAGTCAATGTTTAGAAGAGATGCTCAAGAGTTATCTTAGATCACTGTTACTTCTGGGTTCTATAATTTGGATTTAGATGTTAGATGAATGTAATTTTTGTTAGTGTTACTGTCAATAAAATTTAGGCTTTCTCAAACATGGTACTAATTTCAGGGATAATTATTAAATCAAGATCATTCCATTTATCATTTCAATTCATTCAAATCATTTAAAAATCATATTACATACCATATTCTGCTAATAATTAAATTGACATTAAATTTGAATGCTTTCTAATTTATTCAACTTAGATGATTCCTAAGGCAAGATTATAGAAGGTCCCATTGGACAGAATCATGACCGGGCATAAAATCATAACAGGGCAATAAAACGCTACACGGATGCAATTGTTTGTCAGTTCAGTTTGTGCTTCAGCAGTAAGTACCTCCTCCTAGGTGCCTTGGTGCTTTGCTCCAGGAATAAGTATTTGTCAGGTACCATTTCAGAGAACACTTGGCTCTATGTTTGAGCAAGCTGTTTATTTACTCATTAGGTCTGGCCTTGGCTTAATTCTTTGTGGGTATCTGTCATTGGGTAACCTCTTGACCTCAGGTACGGTCATGTTGACCTCGTCCTCTCAGTGGGTTTCCTAGTTCCCAGTTCTGGAGAGGAACTCACCAGACCCACTGTACATCCTCAATCTTTCAGGTTTGGACATCTTCATTACCTGTCCAACCTTTCGCATGACCACCTTAGCCCTTGTGTGCCTGGTTTTACAGGCTGGGCTTCAAGGACATGTATTGGCACATCCCTATTCTTCCCAGGTTAAAGGACTGGTTAGGTTTTGTAGTGGGTCATCAGGTTTACCATTAAAGATCCTCTTTTTTGGTTTAAATCTGGCTCCCCATATGTTTACCAGTTTGGCATGGGTAATTGTGGGCAAACTGCACCTTCTAGGGGTTCATGTGTTTGCCTACCTCGATAACTGGCTGGTTTGGACTCCCAGTTGGTCCGCATGTCAGCATGCCAGGAATCTAGTTCTTTCCCAGCTTGCCAGGTTTGGGTTCCTGGTGAATGGCGGAAGTCTTTTGATTCCGTCCCAGATTCAGACTTGCCTGGGCCCTCATTTGGGACTCTCAGTTGGCTTCTATTTCCCTGCCTCTGGCAGCTTTGTACATTGACATTGTACAGCCTTGACCTTGCCTGCATTGTCTTTTCATTTTGTTGTTTGGTTCTTGGCATTGTTCTGGCTTCTCCGGTTCCATCCGTTTCACCACTCACAGGACCGGGAAAGGGGGGTTATAGATCCCGCCTGCCCTCTGTCAGCTCCTATCTCGCCTGCTTCCTCTTTAGGCTTTTTTTGGTTCTGTTTTGGGGTACCATCCTCCCCTGTTACGCGATGTGTTTGGGGCTTCGTGACCAGCTCTCATCAGGCTGCCTGTTCTTCGGGTGCACAGTATGGTGTGCAAGTTTGTAGCTGTGTGGCATTCCCTGAGGGGAGCATTCATCTCCCTCCAACAGCTCCCGAGTGGTTCAGTTCTTAAACCGAGGTGGAAGGGGTGGGGTGGGGGGGGTAGCTTCGGTCCATTGTCCTGTCGAGCTGGATACTTCAAGTAGTTCAGCTTCTAGTTTCTTGGGGTTTGGTTCTCCATGCAGCCCTGCGGCCCATAGGAGGCCTGGTCGAGGACCAGGCCACGGGGATGCTAAGCCCCGAAATCATTACAAGGTACGGTAACCGGCCCAGTTTCTGACCAGGCCTTCTGGTTACTGGTGTCCAATGTGCAACTTTGTGTCTGCAGTGTGTCCAGTGTGTCGGCAATAACCACCTGGTTCTTGCAGATGGGTTATCTCGTTTCTGTTCCATTTCTACAGTGGACAGTTGATGACGTGTTGTTCCACTGGGTCTGCAAGATGTTAGGTTTTCTCAAGGTGGACCTCTTCACATCGGCATGGAACCAGCACCTTCCCTCCTACGTGGCTCTGTTTCCTGATCATGAGGTTTGAAGAATGGAAGTGGATGCCATTCAACTGGACTGATGGTGGTTCATTTACCATTTTTCCTAGTTCATTTGTTGCTCAGAGTTCTGTCCACTCTGTTGTCAGATTCAGGGAGGATGTTACTTCAGGTTCCTTGGTGGCCAGCCCAGCTTTGGCTTCTGGTGCCTTTAGCCTGGTATCTGAACCCAGGCATTTTCCTCGGCTCCACCTCTTTCAGCAGATCAGCTCGACAATGTACCTTCTGGTTCAACCTTCTCTGCTCTACACATCTGGAGTTTTTGACACATGTCTATCACCATTTGTATGGTGAGTAGTTGGCTGGTTTGTTTGTAGCCCACCTGCATCTTTCCTTGTGGCAGCAGTGAGATATTGCCTGGCGCTCGTTTTGCCACTATCTGACTCTTCGTTGTCTTTCATCAGTTTTAGTCAAGGTTGTTCTGTTCTATTTGACTTGGTTGTTTCTAGATCAGCCTCTCATGCTTAATACTGTTGCTTTTTATCACTTGGCATTGGTGGATCTGCTGTTGCTTGCATTGGCATCGACCTCTTTGGCACCATTCTGCAAGTTGACTTGTGTGTGTTTTCAACTCCAGCCAGTTCATGCTCCTGAGTCATCCTATTCTCTTGACCAAGTGTTAAGCTTTCTCTCCTCGCCTGGTTTTACAGTTTTCACTTCAATTCGTAATTTATCAAAAGCTGTGTTTTTGTTGGCTCTCACATCCAGCTGTTGGGTTGGGGAACTTCAGGCTCTTCTCCAGAGGCAGGGGTTTTGTTCCTTTGGCCCTGGTTGGTGGTTTGTTTGCAGCCTCCTCCTCCTCTTCTGACAGAGAATGAGTTAGCTTGTTGCTTGCTTGGTCTGGGAATGGGTTCATCACTTGTGTTTGGTGGTGACTCTTTGCCGCTACTTGCAGGTCTCTGGTTCTGCCACTGTGGACACCTTATTGGTTGACCTGGTTTCCTTGGTTCCCTGTTCTAAGGCTCATATTTCTCAGGTCATATGCAGTGTCATCAAATCTAGCCAGTCTGTGGTCTACCCTTGGGACCATGATGTTCACAAGTACAGTATGCAGTGTTGGTTGCAGTCTTCTCCAACAATATTTGGTCTCAGAGTTACACATTCTAACAGAGTTCTGGTAGAATAACAGCGATGAGTATACATAAACATTTGTATACTCACTGCTGTCGCTCATAATCTATTATAAGTACACTTTTGTTTTTGCATCTATTCGCTAGAGAATTTATTTACATTTAACAAATTTTTACATGAAATTTATTTATAACCCAACAAATAACTTTGAAAACATAAAATAATTATAACAAAAATTCCCATCACTGAGTAGCCCGGGGAGGCTAGAACATTTACAGTCAGGAAAGCACAGAGATGCTGTACTGCCAGTGTTAATGGCAGTAGTTAACCTATAGTAAATTTATATAAATATTACTGTACTGTACAAAGCTTTTTAATTTACATTATCCGGAGATTATCCCGGATTACGATCGTCTTCAACACAAGGTAGATACACTTTACATACCTAACCTGGGATGATACCTGGTTGAAGAAACATACAGAAGATGTTTTGATAAATGCTAATTTAGAGATCGAGATCCCCTGGCTGCCATACAAGGGACATAATTAGCCAACCCCTCTCTAGTATTCAAATGGGAACTTGATAAACACATCTCAATGGGACCTACACAAGACTGCAAGCAGTAGCCTGGCCAGAGAACAGGGAGCAGGATATTGATCCTTAAAACCATCGCAAGGTAACTTCTCAGACAGTGCTACCCAACTAATTATATTTATATCATATCAACATTTATATCAAAGTACAGTATGGTATCAGCCTCGGTGACCTCCTCCTGTAACTCATTTCATTTATGCTACTCTAAATATAAAGAAATGTGTAATTATACATTACAGTATCCTTATGACTCATCTATATCTAGCTTCCATCCATGGCCTATCATTGATGCACCTGCTAAGCATTTTATCACAATCTAATTTGCCAATACTGTATCTGTTAGGATGTTACATATCAAAATAATGTTTTTTCCATCTCTTATCTGATGTATTAAAGTCCCATTCCCTCAGTATTTTCTGGTGCTCTAATCCAATCAGTTCTGAACTCAGTATTGTGGCTTGTGTGTGTGTACACATTTGTATTTGTATGTACAGCATTAATAAGTATGTAGGTGTGTATACATTGATGTGCTGGTGTGTGCATGTGTGCAAAGTTGTATATACTGTACATTCGTTTGCAGGCATGCATACATTTGTGTGTATACATGTGTGTAGTTGTACATAAACATGTGTGCATGCAAGAATGCATGGGTGTCCATATGTATAGTATATACACACGTGTGTGTGTGTGTTTACTAGTTGTGTTTTTGCGGGGGTTGAGCTTTGCTCTTTCGGCCCGCCTCTCAACTGTCAATCAACTGTTTACTAACTAACTACTTTTTTTTTTTTTTTTCCACACCACACACACACACACACACACCCCAGGAAGCAGCCCGTGACAGCTGACTAACTCCCAGGTACCTATTTACTGCTAGGTAACAGGGGCACTTAGGTTGAAAGAAACTTTGCCCATTTGTTTCTGCCTCGTGCGG